ACGGAGAGGCAGCATTCTTCCCTTCCTAACAGTTGCTGGCAGTTCAGCTGGAACCTTCTCTTTATATAAAAAATATGTGTGCGTAACTTGCAAGCCCCTAAAATATTCCTCTGGATCGCTAACATTTATCACATACTCAAACTGTGTAAAAAAGACCATATAACTAAAAAATGTTGCGCTCCCAATCTCTAACAAACTTATAAATTAGTGACTTCAAGTTATATATCCATGAAAAACAAACAATATACCATATATAAATAAATGAATATCAAGTTAAATGTGATGTGAATCAAATAAAATAAAAAAACAGTCCCATTAATCAAATAATAGTCCAAAAAAAGGGATTTGTGATGTGTTTGAATCATCACAAATCCCTTTTTTTGGACTATTATTTGATTAATGGGACTGTTTTTTTTCTTTTATGTGATTCACATCACATTTAACTTGATTTTCATTTATTTATATATGGTATATTGTTTGTTTTTCATGGATATATAATTTGAAGTCGCTAATTTATAAGTTTGTTAGAGATTGGGAGCGCAACATTTTTTAGTTATACCTTCTCTTTATATGCTGTTGGAAACCATGAGTTTTCCTGATTGGGTTGTCTATTTAGGGCCCTGGCTCCCTGGGCTTGGAGCACATTTGGTAGAGTAGGGACAGGTCTGTTAGGGATATAACTAGCAGCAGGGAAAGGTTCCTGACAAGGAAGGAAAGCATAGGGATCGCAACTTCTATGGATCTTTTCCCTCTTGGGCAGGAGGTGGAGAGGCCGCATTCTGCCCCTCCTAACAGTTGCTAGCAGTTCACTTGGAACCTTCTCTTTATATGCTGTTGGAATCCATGAGTGTTCCTGATTGGGTTGTCTTCCCTCCGGGTTTATTGTGAACTGTTTTTGCATTACTTCAGTACAAGTTCTTGCATTGTACTTGGACTGTGTGTGTTGTTGCTACTTCACCATGATGTACCCCCCCTACATGCTCCACAGCACAGCTAAGCCCCCCATAAGCGTCCTAAGTCCTATAACCCCTCCTCCATACGTAACCTCTAAACTCCTGTTACCCCTACAACCTTGCACAATGTGTGTCCCATCTGCTTTATAGTTCAATATTACCAGGAAGGTCATATAGCCCCCCCCCTCCCCAGGAGAAGGGACAACTGCAACCTCAAGTACAACTACAACCCCTCCTACCATTCTTTCTACACCTCTGCCAGTAGTGGTCAATGTTGGTGGTATCCCAAAAAAAAGATTCCAAAAAAAACCAAAAATATAAATGGCCCAGGATGGTTAGGATCAATAGCACCACTATCAACCCATCCCTGTGAAGGAAGACCGAGGACTGGGCCCACAGATTCAGAGGGTACACGATGCCACACAGACACAGACAGCGGTTCTTTTAAAACAATTCCGTTTACTGAACAGTTATAGTGATCATGTAGCTGAGCATACGTAAACAGAATGATAACAGCGCATAACCATACAGTAAGAATAATACTGTCTAACACTAACCCCGTACTTGCGGACTTTTCCCCAATGTCCAGAAAGCAGCCTGGCTGCGCCTGAATGTTCCTGAGCAAGATATAACGTTGGGGTGCACCCTAAGTATTGCGCAATACTATTTGTAATCCAAAGGAAAGTGGAGTGTGTCTCTTGTAACTTTCTGGTATATCCAAAATGTCACTGACCACGTGTGGTGCGATGTGCAGCTGCAAAGCCGCACTTACGGTTCCCTGGCAGGCTCTTGGTGCTTTCTCCTGACCCACTCCGGAACCGGACCATACAGTCACTTGTTTCCTGGTCTCGTTGTGAATCTTCCTTAGGTGCCCTCGCCAGATTCCACTGTGAGCCGTAAATCCTCTTCCAGGCCCCACACAGATTCTCCAGACGTCCTCAGCATCCAACAGCCAGACCCAGATTCCACTTCCTCCTCAGCACAGGAACTCCTCCCCTTCCCATAGAGTTTGTGATGCAGTAAGTCATTTCTTAATTGCAGCCTCAAACCTGCATTTACAGTTCACTATGACCCTTCTGAGGGTCCTACTCGGCCCCTAAATTAGTATTCATTAAACTTTATAGGGTAAATAAGCATTTATCTTGTCTTAGCAAAAGTCACTACAAAATCGATTCTTGTACTTTGCTGCCATCTACTGACCAAAGAGCATATTGCAGTTTAACATTACACACCAGTATTAATCCATGCGTCACACCCTTACACCTGCATGCCAGGGTGCTAGGTGTAACTCTGGATTCTGAACTATCCTTTCAGGCCCACATCCAATCCCTGTCCAAATCATGCCGCCTCAACCTCCGCAACATCTCCAGAATATGCCCCTTTTTAACCAATGATACCACAAAGCTCCTAATTCACTCCCTGCTCATCTCTCGCCTCGACTACTGCAACTCCCTCCTCATTGGATGACCTTTACATAGGCCACACCCCCCTCCAGTCATGAATATAAGTAATAAAGCGAGTGCTTCTCAATCTGGTATAAAAGCAGCTTAAAATCCTTGAACATACAGTCAGGTCCATAAATATTGGGACATCGACACAATTCTAACATTTTTGGCTCTATACACCACCACAATGGATTTGAAATGAAACGAACAAGTTGTGCTGTAACTGCAGACTGTCAGCTTTAATTTGAGGGTATTTACATCCACATCAGGTGAACGGTGTAGGAATTACAACAGTTTGCATATGTGCCTCCCACTTGTTAAGGGACCACAAGTAATGGGAAAATTGGCTTCTCAGCTGTTCCATGGCCTGGTGTGTGTTGTTCCCTCATTATCCCAATTACAGTGAGCAGATAAAAAGGTCCAGAGTTCATTTCAAGTGTGCTATTTGCATTTGGAATCTGTTGCTGTCAACTCTCAAGATGAGATCCAAAGAGCTGTCACTATCAGTGAAGCAAGCCATCATTAGGCTGAAAAAAACAAAACAAACCCATCAGAGAGATAGCAAAAACATTAGGCGTGGCCAAAACAACTTTTTCGAACATTCTTAAAAAGAAGGAACGCACCGGTGAGCTCAGCAACACCAAAAGACTCGGAAGACCACGGAAAACAACTGTGGTGGATGACCGAAGAATTCTTTCCCTGGTGAAGAAAACACCCTTCACAACAGTTGGCCAGATCAAGAACACTCTCCAGGAGGTAGGTGTATGTGTGTCAAAGTCACCAATCAAGAGAAGACTTCACCAGAGTGAATACAGAGGGTTCACCACAAGATGGAAACCATTGGTGAGCCTCAAAAACAGGAAGGTCAGATTAGAGTTTGCCAAACGACATGTAAAAAAGCCTTCACAGTTCTGGAACAACATCCTATGGACAGATGAGACCGACATCAACTTGTACCAGAGTGATGGGAAGAGAAGAGTATGGAGAAGGAACTGCTCATGATCCTAAGCATACCACCTCATCAGTGAAGCATGGTGGTGGTAGTGTCATGGCGTGGGCATGTATGGCTGCCAATGGAACTGCTTCTCTTGTATTTATTGATGATGTGACTGCTGACAGAAGCAGCCGGATGAATTGTGAAGTGTTTCGGGAATATTATCTGCTCATATTCAGCCAAATGCTTCACAACTCATTGGACGCTTCACAGTGCAGATGGACAATGACCCAAAGCAGACTGCAAAAGCAACCAAAGAGTTTTTTAAGGGAAAGAAGTGGAATGTTCTGCAATGGCCAAGTCCATCACCTGACCTGAATCCGATTGAGCATCTCACTTGCTGAAGACAAAACTGAAGGGAAAATGCCCCAAGAACAAGCAGGAACTGAAGACAGTTGCAGTAGAGGCCTGGCAGAGCATCACCAGGGATGAAACCCAGCGTCTGGTGATGTCTATGCGTTCCAGACTTCAGGCTGTAATTGACTGCAAAGGATTTGCAACCAAGTATTAAAAAGTGAAAGTTTGATTTATGATTATTATTCTGTCCCATTACTTTTGGTCCCTTAACAAGTGGGAGGCACATATGCAAACTGTTGTAATTCCTACACCATTCACCTGATTTGGATGTAAATACCCTCAAATTAAAGCTGACAGTCTGCAGTTAAAGCACATCTTGTTCATTTCATTTCAAATCCATTGTGGTGGTGTATAGAGCCAAAAATGTTAGAATTGTGTCGATGTCCCAATATTTATGGACCTGACTGTATATACATATAATCAAAAAATGCAGCGCTCAAATAATGCTAAAGTGAAGAAGTGGTAAACGCGCAAAATTATGCGCTAGTAAGTGATACAAAAAGTGGTGTCTTGATGAAGACAATAAATTATTATAAAGTGACAACAGTATCATGTAAACACATTACATCGCAAAAAATTGATATCTAAATATATAAAAGTCCATTGAAGTTTTCAGAAAGGTGCGTCAATATTCCCAAGCAGGAAGATAACAATCATTCCCATTCAACTTCCATCACATAATAATAAGGTGCTTGTGACTTCCGTGATAGGAAAAAGGGGTGTGCTTGCACTCACCAGACGTAAAATAATTTTACGCATGTAGTATATGGGGCACTGGTGGTCATCTGGAACCCGGTAGGGATGTGGCACTCCGATGGCGCTTGGTATACCCAGGGAATGTACTCCAGGCCTCTCAGTGGACCCTCTCTGGTAGTAGAAACTGCTCACAGGTTTCACTTCCACCCGGCATCAGGTAAGTTCAGCATCAATGGGAGATCCACCTTAAGTAGCTCAAATAAGCCACCAGGACAAAAGGCTGATATAGTGCAGTAAATTGTATTCAGCCAGTGTTGATAATCACATATCAGGCAGCTTATTGTGACATCCAGTATGATAGCAGCATCAGCTACAGGTAAGTATGTGCAGGTAAAAATCATACATGAATTCCAAGACTCCAAGATGGCTGCTGGCCAGACACGTGGCTCCAGCAGCAAAGGGTGATGTTGGCGCAGCAGGCTGGTACCCTGACGCGTTTCGTGCAATGGCACGTTGTCAAAGGGTTGCTGCTGCCAGGCTCCTCCACCTTACCAACCGTTCAGTGTCTGCTACCCCTCTCTGCCAACCCATTCACTGACCTCCACTCAGTGTCCTCCACCCCTCTCTGTCAATCCCTCCACTGACCTCCACTCAGTGTCCTCCACCCCTCTCTGCCAATCCCTCCACTGACCACCACTCAGTGTCCTCCACCCCTCTCTGCCAATCCCTCCACTGACCTCCACTCAGTGTCCTCCACCCCCTCTCTGCCAATCCCTCCACTGACGTCCACTCAGTGTCCTCCACCCCTCTCTTTGTCAATCTCTCCACTGACCTCCACTCAGTGTCCTCCACCCCTCTCTTTGTCAATCCCTCCACTGACCTCCACTCAGTGTCCTCCACCACCCCTCTCCGCCATTGAGTGGGACTTACAAACCATCGTTAGTCCCCTGGTCAAGCCTTCTGCTTGGCAAATAGCACGCTTATCCCTACAGATCTCCATGGCACCTTAAAGAGGGTCTGCTTCCATGCAGAACATGTATTGGGCTGTATGTGCAGAGCATGTGTTGGGCTGTACGTGCAGAGCATGTGTTGGGCTGTACGTGCAGAGCATGTTTTGGGCTGTACGTGCAAAGCATGTGTTGGGCTGTACGTGCAGAGCATGTGTTGGGCTGTACGTGCAGAGCATGTGTTGGGCTGTACGTGCAGAGCATGTGTTGGGCTGTACGTGCAGAGCACGTGTTGGGCTGTACGTGCAGAGCACGTGTTGGGCTGTACGTGCAGAGCACGTATTGGGCTCTATTTGCAGAGCACGTATTGGGCTGTACGTGCAGAGCATGTATTGGGCTGTATGTGCAGAGCACGTTAGTGGGAGCACAGCGTACTCTGGGTCTGGTTATGCAGAGCTCGTTGGTTGCGTAATCAAAATTGTGGGCCAGTCCAGTCCCTCTGGGCTAATGTTGCTGTGATTTTGGCAGGAAAATGCGCTATAATTCAAGACGGTTGTTGTTGTGTTTTAGTGGCAGGATTTCCTCACGCTAGACTGACCGTTATAATGTGTATTAATGTACTGGAGCCGCGCTGGAGACGCCATTAGCAATAAGGCACTCTGGGGGACAATCTGATAGCTTGTATTAGAGGCCCATCATTGAGAGATGAATTCCAGCTGCTTCTGATGGATAAGATACAACTACTGGCTAAAGACCGAGAGCAAGTTCACCAGTTCATTATACGGGGGGGGGGGGGGGGCACACTGACACCCATTTACGTCAAACAAAACTATACAATATATCTGATATACTCCACCAATGTGAGCTCCCATACCCATCCGTAGACATCATATGTATTCATTTTACCCATTTATAAAGTCCTGGCATATTCTATCTGCAGTGCTGTCCAGAGAACACTGAGCCAATCACATCAGTCTCTATACCAAAGGAGCTGACACTCTATTGGTCTCCCACATTGTCTCATACTATTATTATACATTTATATAGCTCTGACATATACCATAGAGTTGTACAGAGAACACTGAGCCAGTAACATCCGTCTCTGCACCAGAGGAGCTTACACTCTAATGTCCCCTCCCCCACAGTCACATCAGTCTCTGTACCAGAGGAAAGAAAAAAACTGATCACCTGCCCAGGTCTATAACTGGCTTTTTAAACAGTGAACATGGGGGGCTGTCACTACGTGAGAAAATTTCCAAAAAAGTAGAACTATCCAGTTCAACTTGCCAGCCTACCCCAATCTAATATCGGCTTTTATTGGCAAGGAACAAGGATATGTACATCTTATCAACAAAGGGGGATAAGAAAAGCCAGCTCAAACTGTCAGCCAGTTAGCCAACTATCAAAAACCAAATTAACCTGTCTGGAAACATGCGTTTAAAAACAGGGGTTTAGTTAGCACACATTTGCAAATACATACGTAAGCCACAGAGCCGCGTCACGGCACCCTGAGTATCTGTGGTCCTAACTCTACAAGTCTAAAGAGTTTCTTATCCCCCTTTGTTGATAAGATATACATATCCTTGTTCCTTGCCAATAAAAGCCGATATTAGATTGGGGTAGGCTGGCAAGTTGAACTGGATAGTTCTACTTTTTTGGGAATTTTTTCTTCTGTACCAGAGGAGCTTACACTCTAATGTCCCCTCCCCCACAGTCACATCAGTCTCTGTACCAGAGGAGCTTGCACTCTAATGTCCCCTCTCCCACAGTCACATCAGTCTCTGTACCAGAGGAGCTTGCACTCTAATGTCCCCTCCCCCACAGTGTCTCATACTATTATTATTATACATTTATATAGCTCTGACATATACCGCAGTGCTGTACAGGGAACACTGAGCCAGTCACATTGGTCTCTGCACCAAAGGAGCTTACACTTAGGGAGGAATGTCAGGTCCCTGTAGCAGCTGTCTGTCAGTCTCTGGGGCGTGGCTTCTCTTTCTGTCCTTTCACGTCCCCTAGATTTTTGTAACATCAGATTTTTGAGGAAAGGCGGCATGTATGGGATCAATGTTTCATCGTTTCTTAGCCTGAGGGGGGGTTTAGATGACGGTCAGGATTTGTTATTATTTTGCTGAAGTAAGCTGGCTTTGTTTAATTATATATATTTTATTCTGTATATATGTAAATATGTTTTTTTATGATGTTATTTGTTTGCAAGATTTTAATAAACAAAACATTTACACTCTACTGTCCCCACCACAGTGTCTCATGCTATTATTATACCTTTATATAGCTCTGACATATACCGCAGTGCTGTACAGAGAACACTGAGCCAGTCACATCAGTCTCTGTACCAGAGGAGCTTACACTGTAATGTCCCCTCCCCCACAGTCACATCACTCTCTGCACCAGAGGAGCTTACACTCTAATGTCACCTCCCCCACAGTCACATCAGTCTCTGCACCAGAGGAGCTTACACTCTAATGTCCCCTCCCCCACAGTCACATCACTCTCTGCACCAGAGGAGCTTACACTCTAATGTCCACCTCCCCCACAGTCACATCAGTCTCTGCACCAGAGGAGCTTACACTCTAATGTCCCCTCCCCCACAGTCACATCCGTCTCATACTATTATTACAGGAGCTTATATAGCTCTGAATGTCCCCTGTACCCACTGACCAGTCACATCCGTCTCTGCACCACAGGAGCTACACTCTAATGTCTCCTCCCCCACAGTGTCTCATACTGTTATTAAACATTTATATAGCTCTGACATATACCATAGAGCAGGGGATGACTGACAACTCATGGGCCCCTGGGCAATAGGGGATCATGGGGCCCCTGTGTCCTTGCCCACAATCAAAGCACACCCAAAAAAATCCTATAAAAAGGTACTAGGGGAATTTCATGGGGCCCCCTACTGATCCCGGGCCCTTAGGCAGTGCCCGAGTGCTCGTATGGTCAGTGGTCAGTCCGCCCCTGCCATAGAGCTGTAGAGAGAACACTGAGCCAGTCACATTGGTCTCTGCACCAGAGGAGCTTACACTCTAATGACCCTACCACAGTCTCATTAGGGCCATGGATAAGGGGGTACCACCAGTCCTCCTGTATGGGCCTAGGCCAGCAGGGGGGCCCAGGCAGCTAAGGGAATTGGATGTGGGCAGGGAGGGTGATCAGCACGGCTGGGGGGTAAATATTGGAACCACTCCCTTGAATTGCTCCTTCTGCCACAGCTGAAAGCTGGCATCTTCTCCTCTCCCTCCTGCTGGCTTTCAGCTGCTGCAGAGAGAGAGGGATCATTTCCAGTAATTTCCCCCCCCCACCACACTTATCACCCTCATGTTTCCTTCTGCTGCCCAGGCCCCCCTCTCCTTCCCACCGGCAGCTAGGATCCTTCAGGATGGAGAGTGGGGGAAGGGTCTGTAAATTTGTCAGCCCCATGCTTTCCTGAATGAACACAGTGAGTGATCTGCACTGATCGCTCACTGTGTTAATTCATAACTGAAGCATTGTAGACCGTGTTTTTTCTTTTGGGGCCCTGTCAGGTTGGCTGTATGGGGCCCCATGGTTTCTAACAGCAGCCCTGAGTCTCATATTATTATTATTATTATACAAGTATATAGCTCTGACATATACCACAGCGTTGTACAGAGAACACTGAGCCAGTCACATCAGTCTCTGTACCAGAGGAGCTTACACTCTAATGTCCCCTCCCCCATAGTCATATCAGTCTCTGCACCAGAGGAACTTACACTTTGCCCCTACCATAGTCACTGTAACATTGGGTATACAAAAATAGCTTGATATTGCAGCTATGCCCCTAATTCATGGAAGTGGACCAATGACTATAGTTTAGAATCTAACAGCATTGTAGAATGAGTAAACACAAGATGCCAACCAGTTTCTGACAAGCTTGTGGTGTTGATACCCCCACGGTGGCGGAATGTCAGGGCCCGGTTGCAAGTCCAATGTTTGCAACCCTGGTAGTTCTGCCACCAACCTTACTATTACTAGGGGGCACTCTGGAAGATGTAAGGGGGCACTCTAGAGTGCTCTCTTAATGTTTCTAGAGTGTCCCCTTGGTGCCTCCAGAGTGCCCCCTTACATCACCCCCAGTGCCCCCTTACATCCTCCAGTGTACTCCCCTAGTTCCCCATCGGTGCCTACAAAGTGTTCCATCCATCCTCCAGAGTGCCTCCTTAGTAACTCTATGGTGCCTACAGAGTGCTCCATACATCCTCCAGAGTTCCCCCTTAGTGCCTCTAGAGTGCCCCTTACATCTTCCAGAGTGCCTCCCTAGTGTCCCAATGGTACCTACAGAGCAGGGGCGGACTGACCATTTGGAAACCCGGGCATTGCCTGAGGGCCCGGGATCAGTAGGGGGCCCAATGGGATGCCCCTGGTACCTTTTTCATAGGCTTTTTTGAGTTTGGGCAAGGACACAGGGGCCCCATGATCCCCTATTGCCCGGGGGCCCCATGAGTTGTCAGTCCGCTCCTGCTACAGAGTGCTCCATACATCCTCCAGTGTGCCCCCTTAGTGCCTCTAGAGTGCCCCCTTTCATCCTTATGAGTGCCCCCCCCCTACTGCCCCCTTAGTGCCTCTAGATGTCTCTCTTATTACAGTAGTACTAAGGGGGCACTCTGGAGGAGGACGTAAGGGAGCACTCTGGAGGAGGATTTAAGGGGGTGCTGTGGAGGAAGATGTATGGGGGCACTCTGGAGGATGTAAGGGAGCACTCTGGAGGTACTAAGATATTACCTCCAGCGTGCCCCCTTACATCCTGCAGAATGTCCCTTACAAATACTGAGTGCCCCCTTACATCCTGCAGAATGTCCCTTACAAATACTGAGTGCCCCCTTACATCCTGCAGAAATGTCCCTTACAAATACTGAGTGCCCCCTTACATCCTGCAGAATGTCCCCTTACAAATACTGAGTGCCCCCTTACATCCTGCAGAATGTCCCT